GGGACGACAGCTAGCTCCGTCTCATTGATTAGCGAAAGGGGGTGGCGGAGGTGGGTTTTGATGAAGGTCACATGCATGGTTAGACATTTTCCTCCATTCAGCAGCATGTGGTTACGATGTGTCCATAGGTTCAGATCGTCGAGGGCATGTTGTAACATGGAAGGTTGGCTTAAAGTTCTTGTCTCTAGTAAGTTCATGTCGTCAACGTACTTCCAGACAGGGCACGGAGAGTCGTTGGCAGCGTCATCAATGAGTGTTTAAAACAGAATGGGACCTAGGAGGGTCCCCTGCGCTACAAGGTTTCCCAGTTTGAAAGCGATTGGCGGTAGCGTACACACTGTTTCCTCCCGGAAATAAAGCTGCAGACCCACGGCACCAGCTCAGGTCTGAGGCCCTTGATCACCAGTTTATCAATAACAGTGTTATGTAAGACGAATTTACCCACTTCTTCTATAATATGTGGGTTCTTTGATTTTAGTAGTAAAATTGTTTATTATGTGACAATCTCGTCGACCTCGTTCAGGAGCTGCTACCTCTCCGTGTTTTCCGCAACAAAAAGTTGTTATATTTAACATTTCATCAGAATATGCCTAAATGTACCACCTGGGAGTCTCAATGCCAACGCACTCTTATGTCAGTTAGAATTAGATAGATTAGGTAGTAAATGTTGGGCATCTGGTGTACGGAAATCTTTAGAGGAATGCGGTTATGCCTTTGTTTGGCATTCTCCCCTATCAATTGCTTCAAAAGTGCACGCAACCATCTTCTCCATTCACCAACGTCTGAAAGACATTTACTTCCAAAAATTCCTACGCGAAATTCATAATGACAACAAATCCAAAAACGCTAAGAACAAACTGCGCTCGTACAGACTATTCAAATCTACTTATAATGAAGAACATTATCTTAAAATCCCAAACGGAAGTCAAAGAACCACCATCACCAAACTACGAATCAGCTGTCATAAACTCAGCATCGAAACAGGAAGGCACAACCGCACACCTCTGGAACAAAGGATGTGCCAATATTGTAGCTCAAACAAAGTAGAAGACGAAGCCCACTTTGTTATTGATTGTAGTTTATATAGTAATGAAAGAAATTATCTTTTTAGATATATTACAAGTACGTTTCCATACTTCCAATACTTGCCTAATATTGAAAAAAATATCTTTCTTATGCGCTTTGATCATTCTGTATTATACAAACCCATTTCAAATTATATTTTTAACATCACAAAGAAACGAGAAAAAGCCGAACTTCTGTATTAGAGTAGATTTAGAGCTGTTTGTACAACAAACATGTATATTACCTATTTCTCATCTGTTCGCCTGTACTTAGCCCGGTAGGGCATGAATGTACAATAAATGTTATTATTATCAATCATTAACTACTGGGAGTGCACGTGACGCAAACCCGTGTTCCCCGGGCACCGTGCCACACCTAACCGTGTCCCGGACGTGTGAGTTGACGTTGGCACGGACATGTAAAGGACTTCAGATCAAAGCCAAGGTTAACAGATTTGGCAAAGTGACCAGGTCTGGTTGATAAGATGGCAGCTGGCGGGTGATTATCAAGGTTCTTTCCCCTTTGTTTCTCATTTCCTATCAGCCGAGTTGTCATCCTTGTTACTTTGCGTCCGCTCGGGTAGTGACTATTCGGAACGGACGTACACTAACCAAGATGGCACTCAGGTACGTCAGAGGGAAGACGTAGCCTTTTATGTGTCTAGTTGAAGGCGTAACTCACGTGCCAATAATCATTGAACTTTCAGTAGAATAATGAGAGAAAGACAATCCCTTTCTCCATATAAACAGATTACAATCACATGGATTTCAAACCAGATCATCGAAATCACGAACCATCCGTTTTCCGAAACCGAGAACACTTGTTCAGGAAAAACGTTTTCTGTACAGAATGTCTAACACCTGGAATAATCTGAAGTTGTAAGAGAACAATAATCATGTTTAGTTGTCTCGTATATTACTTGTTCATTGTTAACTGGCAATGTGTCTATACGTTGTATATGTCATTTTCCTGTGGTCATGTAGTGTTGTATAAATGTAGGACCACAGGAAGAATAGCAACTATGTATACTAATTGTGGATCAACTTATGGTGGGAGTATTTACATGGAGAAATTATCCACCAACGCCGTGCACACCTCGGAGATTTTAACACGTACACACATGTATGTCACGGTCGAGCCATCATAGTTTTAGCTGGAAAAGAAAGTAACCTGATTTGTTCTGTAGCCACACTGTGAACACCTGATACACTGTTAGGCTGAAGAGATAGCTGTACACCATGTAACTGTACACCTAACACATTCTGGAGTCTCGTTGCACGAGCCAGATAGGTTTCACATCATGCGTCAACCACGTCCGGACCCTCCAAGGTTCTCTCTGACGTTCTACGTCTTCGAGTTTTGGCGGGTCGCCAGGGGGAGGAAGAGAACACGAGTACTGGGCCAATCGGAAGCGGCGACGTACTTCCGCGTAGCCAATGGGAAGCTCGGATTGTAGGCATGACGGGGTTTGTTACCGAGTCTCTGCAGGGCAGGCGTCGTGGCACTAAATACAAAACTGCCGGATCGCCGGTCACAGTTCCGACAATCTGCCACCGCCTGCCTGCCTGTCCAGTAGGGCTGCCACTGTCAGCCGCGGAAAGAAAGAGGTACGAGCAGTGGAGCAGGACGAGGGAGGGCAGGCTAGGTACCGACAACACACCTAGGACATTTTATCCTTCACGTTACAGAGAGCTGTACGACTTTTACCGAAGATGCATAGACGTTTGACTGGTGTCCTGGCTGTATTATGCCTACTGCTGCTAATTGCTGCAAAAACATGTACTGGATACGGGCTGGACGGCCCTGGAAAGAGACCATTCCATTTTCCGGACGAGAAGCAAGGTAAGCAATCCATGCAATATATATTATCATGTCCTTTCATGTTACGAGTACTCGATGTTTCATACCGACAGTGTGTTACAGGGTTTTGCGTCCGTGTTGTCTATGCCGTCGCTAAAAACACCCTTGTCAATCGTCATCTGGCAAATTTAGCACTAAACGCTTTGGGCTCGTTGTATTTTGAGTCTGCATTCCTCTCTTAGTCTGCACCAACCCCAAATCATTTCCGACATCTGTGTTATATTTTGACTTTCACTTTTCAGCAACTTTCGCCGACGGCCTCAGTAGTTACGACGTCGTGCACCCCACGAGAGTTTCTCCAGACGGAGAGTTCATATCGCACCGTGTCGTGCACAGCGAACATCAGCACCACCTCCGCCGGCGGGGTGCAGACGACCAAGGGCGCCCCTCCTCCCCTCAAGCCGGCGGGCTGCACTACAAGGTCACCGTGGACGGGGTTGACTTGCATCTTGATCTCCGGCTGAACTCGGCCCTGTTGGCCCCCGGGTACGTCCTGGAACGACATCGGGGGAACGTTTCACGGGCGGCCATCTCCCGCGGCCCCGCCAACCCCTGCCACTTCGTGGGTACCGTCCCCACAGCGAGACACTCATCCGTGGCCATCAGCACTTGCAGCGGATTGGTATGTTGTGTTTCTTGTTGACGACTCTTCAGGATAATTTAGATTCTTTCCTTTTAGGATATCCAAAACAATGTCCAGGGAGTGGCATATTTTGCAGGAATGTAGAATGTATCCCGGGTTAAGGTGTACAATGCCATGTTATTGTTAGCTAAAACGCCTGACATTTTTGAGAGCCCTTCCCTTGTAGACCCGCCCCCTATTGAAGTCCGGTCTGTTTTTATAAAGAAAAGAGAAGAAAATTCGTAGTAACAGGAAAATATCCTTGCGTCTACTTTTTTTCTTGGAGACCGAGACAGACACACTCCTGGTAAATTTATCGCGGGGTCCTGACCTGCCTACCTCGGGGCTGTGCGGGTCTCGAGCGGCCGAGCTGTGAAAAGCTGTCCTCCTCCTGTCGTGCGCTCGTTACCTCGTATCAAACAAATTAGACGCGCTCCATATGGTCTACATCAGGTGAGGAGGTGACGTTACGCCCAGAGCTCTTGTAGCCCTTTCTAAAGTAAGTTCTAAAGGGCGTCACGGGATATATTAGCCCCGGACGGACTTTCCTCCCTTCCCCCAATGTGTATCAGGAACGTAACGGACGAGTCAACTCGTCTCCCTTTCCTTTCCTTTCATTTCTTCTGGAGCGGCCGCTGGAATTAGTCCGTCTGGAAATAGAACAGGGCCCTCCTGCTCCGCCCTCTTGATCACCGCTCGCCATGCTCTATATAAATAGCAAAGTAGACAGTTTACCCTTCAGTCCATAATCGTTAAAAGCGTTTAAATGCTCACATGGCTGCATACTGCCGTGTGGAGATGGGCAGACATTAAGTCATCATGATTATATTTCCCACAAGATCTCCATGCTTGATATAACCACAATGTTTTGAATGAAAATAGAGGTATGATATTCCGAAATAAATATGTGGTGCTGTGAGCGGTCCCTAAGGGATAAGCTGGGTATCCTGTGTTAGGAATCCTCCGGATAAAATATCTCGGTAGGATTGACAGAGCTGTAGGAAGATTAGCGACTGATAGTAATTCGGTATTAAATGTATACCCGACAAAGCCAGCGACTAGGGTTAAAATCGCATAGCTGTCGGAATATGTCAACGACGGATTAACCTAGAAAAATATTCGCCCTGATCGATCATGATAAATTCTTTTCCCTAGAACACGGAGAAAGTAGGGGGAAGTTGTGGTTTGTTGTGTCACGTGGGAAGAAAGAATCAAGCGAGACGATCTCAAGACCAAAGCCCCAGACAGGACCCTTCAGCACCGCCAGGCGCAGCTGTTTTTCCACGTTCATTAGAGCAAAATATTTCTGTACCGTCTTTCACTCTGTCCAGATAGCCCTCGTGCTTATCACCCGTAAAAAAATACAGCGGTCAGACTCTGTCCTATTATTATAAAACACGGAAGTCAAGGACAGGGATCCCCGGGAACAAATTGGCTGGATCTCTCGGAGATACATTAATCGTTAACCTTACGAGGCCTTTGTGTTGTTGTTCCCTTTAGCCAGGTCACCTGTGGCGGGTCAACTGGTGTCGGTGTCTGCGGAGATTTCTCGCTGCGATAATTCTGTTTGGCTGGGGGAATTCCTGGCGTGGTCGGGCCCATGTTGACGGTTGTTCTGCATGTTTAGGGAGGACAGCTTCCCGGGGAGGGTTAGAGGTGGGAGCGAGGGGCGGAGCATTAAGGAAGGTTGGGGACGGTTTTACCGTGAGTTCTTCTAGTTGGCCGTGAGCTTGTCTTGATGTCGGAATGCAGCTCAGATTGAACGCAGACCACAATCACCATCCACCATAGAGTGAGACCAGAGGTGTGGCGCAGGGGTGTAGATGCTGTGGGGCGCGCGCGCTTCATAGCCTAGCCTCTACCAGGCTTCAGGAAGCGGTTGTGGAAAGAGTAGAAGTTGGCCAAATAGATGATATGCCGCGCTACATATAAAGAGCAGTTTGCCGCTCCCAAAACTATTTGGCCATTTTCTACTCTTTCCAGCCACTTCCCGAAGCCTGACACTAGCTGAGGTAGAGGCTGTTCATAGCCTGCAGTAGGATTGGACTTCTCTTGATTTGAAGGAAGGGTATTGTAGTTCACAGTCAAATCTGATTTGGCACCATTGTAAAATGTTTGTGAATAAGGTTGTTGACATTTCCTTCCCGTGAAGTGTCGTATTTGCATATACCTCATCCTGTGGGACCAGGACCATTGCCAAGGTGACTATGCTCCTCCACTTTAGGCGATGGAAGTGGTTTTGCCCATCTTTCAATCTTCAAATATTTACTAATACTAGTCAGTTTATGGCATTTTTTGTACACGTAACGTTAAATATTTTCGTGAATCATATACTATTTCCTTCCTGTAAATGTCAGCGTACATGTCGTCCTATTGAGGCTAGTTCATTGCTAACCAAAGTTACGCCGCACCTCCCATCTGCCGTAGCCTGGGTGGAGCGGGCGGAAACTACGGAGGATGGCACCCAGGCTACCACCGCCGTGGACTTGGTATCGCCTGGCCGTCCTTTTGTTCTACACTAGCGATCAGACAAGTCTGTACGTACGTCTGGTCTCTGAGGGCTGGACATGAAAAGTTTGGCTTCAGTCGAAGTACAAGCCTTTCAAACTGTAAATCCCGCTGCCAAGCACGTAACGCTACACCCCGGCTGTCTACCAGGTAATCTCACTCACTTGGCGTAGAGCTAAAGAAACATGTTCAAGGCTTCAAAGTGAGACTTGAGAGCACGGGAGCGCATATTTCTTACCGTCAACTTTACCGAGAACCGTCTGTGGACGTGTTCAAGGACGGCCATGTCCTGATAGCAAAGTTACAACTACTCCAGGTGACGACCTTTTCCTTCAGGTGACGCAGTCGAGTGAAACAAGCCATATTTCTGCCACAGAACCGACAAAGGAGCGTTCGGCTCCTCACGTACACGTGACGAGGTCCATGGTTCAGCTTCCGGCCGGTGCAGTTGAAGAATTTTCTTCAACAAGTGATCCAACAACAATACAACAAGCCTGTGCTACAGTAGCACTGCCAAACTTCTCTCATGATAACTGGTTCGTGCAGAAACCGATTGATCACATTGAACACAATCTCGGCCTCCCGTCAGGCTCTGTTTACTGTAAATAACGGCATTTCTTCCTGTTGTGGATTTCTCCGTCCGGTCGATAGGAGACAACTTTCTCCCTGCCCTCCCCTGTAGTCCTTTCTCGTTTTGAATAGCGGAACGTCAAAACATCCGAACCTCGTTTGTTCCGCATGTTCGTCTTTAGATCACTGTATCAAAACAGTCAAGAATGCTATCCTGTCATGGTGTGGGGTATGGTTTATACCTCCAACCTGCTGTCCTTCACGATCTGGTATTTGCTCACCAATAAGCACTATAAATAGTGTCAGCTGTGTTACATTGAAGCAGCTCCACATTTGCGTTAAAGGAATCCAAAGTCATTTCAAATCGGCAAAATATAAGATATTCTAGATGTGGATGGGGAAATCTGTCTGATATTGACATTTAAGTACTGGCATATGATATTATATTATATATTTACGAATTTCTTAGCACATGTTCGTCATCATTTCATACTTGAAACATTTGAAATACAACATTTAGCTCCAAAACAATCTAGGTGAGAAGTCCCTTTATTTTTTGGGTACCGCTCATATAAAGATAATAGCTAGAACCAGCCTATGATACAACAACCATTTCCGCCAGATACGCTATTAGATAGGATTAATTGGTTAATTAAAAGAATGACCGGAATGAAATTGACTTTGAGAATCCAGTTTTGCCGCCCTGAAGTTGCATTGAATGCCTTTAACCTTGAGTTCAGAGACATCTCTATTTCCGATGAATGGCCGTGTTCCGGACGGGAGCAGTCATCTTTCAGAGCGGGGTAGAGAGGAGAGGGTCCCGGCGGTTTCAGGTGTCCCGATGAAAGGCCGGATGTAATGAGCATGTTCGTTCCCTGGCAGCTGTCCCACACGGCCCGGTACATGATGACTGAAACTACGTGTGAACCAGAATGCAGCGGCGGTCAAACTCTTCACTAGTTTCGTCCCCACTTTTCACTGCGGTCAATGACCCAGACTGACCATATTCCTTGCTATCTTTTCCAGCCCCCCGCCCGCAGCTGGTAAAAACACATGTCAGGTTTGTTAGTACCACTGTCATCCAATGACCCGTAAAAGGTGACCAGAACTCTCTCTCTCTGTCTTGTCCTTACAAAGACAGTTTTATAAACGAAGGCGGGACGAAACGAACTCTCTACTTGTACCTTCTAACATGTAAGTCTTGCCATTGTACACGAGGTTTCTTCCAAAAGAACGGCGTTTATTGGTCGTTACGTTGACAACAGCAACGTTAACATTGTGAACTTATCTACATACATGCGTGTCCATCGCGCGTGTACATGTGCGTTAGCGTCCTGTGAACCTACAGACCGATTGGGGTTAGCATTAGACGGTAGGTGAGATGGACTTCTGATTTGTCATTCTGTCAACGCGCCCAAATGTCACTTGCCACATGGTCAGTCCTAGTTCACGTGCACGTAGCTCAGTGCCAAGTCGGTGAGAGGTCCACGTTAAGAAGTTGTACGTTCTCTGTTTACACCTGTGAGACCCCAATATGGTATCCGAGAAATCTGCTAGTGAGCCGTATGTTCGTAATGCGCGGGGAGAGAGCATGCAGTTCAATGTGGTGAGTCAAAGAATCAAGCTGGACGACAAAGCTTTCCGGCATATCTTTCCTCACTTTTCCTGTGGGTCTGTTCTATCCCTTCCGGGTGATGTCATCGCGCACACCTAGGGTGGCTGTGGTAAGCCCAGACTTTGTGTTGGCGGCAGGCCATGTGTGGACGTTCCAGACTATACACTGTTGGCACACTTGGCAGCGGCCAAGGCCAATATCGCCTTAAATGAAACATGTCTTGTCCCCGGACCACTCTGCCACGTGTGCTTCCGAAGTAACAGCCAGTTTGGAGTGAGACAGAGAAAGGGGGTGACGTGTTTTCTGACATGGTATTATTCTGCATGTGTGTACTCTCCAAAGTTACCACAGATTTGATATTTAGAAACATACAATACAACTTCAGGGCGGCAAAACATAAAATATAATGGAATAGAAAAATCTGTCTGATATTGACTTTTCGTAACACATTTGGTCAATGTTTCTTACTTGAAGCGTTTGAAATAGCCCCAAAACAAGCTACGTAAGTATTCCCTTTAATTTTTTTGTACCGTCCTTACAAATTAAACCAGAACCAGTATACAATACAAAACAGCGGCAACCGTTTTCCGTCAGTGACATCGCATTTTTGCCTCACAGATACCAGTATGCTATGGGATAGGATTGATTCAACTTACATTTAAAGAATGCCCAGAAAATTGACTTAGAAAATCCAGTTTGTCAGCCTGAAGTTACATTTTACGCGAGCGCGCCCCGGCCAGTAACTAACCTGCTCGTGAAGCCAGCGCGCCCCGGGACGTGACCCGCAGGACGGCCGGGGTTATCCTTGGCGCTGCGCCATACAAGACGTACCCAGTAGTCTGTCATCCCTCAGGACAAGACATGGTGACAGGTGACCCACCCCTGTTGTCTGAGGGTTTTACCACACATGTCGTGTCATTTCTTACATCAAGGCTCGCCCTGCCTCACAAAATTAGATTGGGGGGGGGGGTAAGACTGTAGAAAACTGCAGAGAGGTGTTCTGTGAGAATGAAAACAACAGGCCACAAGGTAGGGTATTATAAGAACACCCTTGAGGCTGGGCCTGCAACATGTCAACCTCAGTCCTAAGTTATAACAATACCCTAAAACAGGACAGCCTTATGATCCCAACCGTCCCCTTACCTATCTCAGTTACCTATGCTAGCTATCCAGCTCCATCCACTTACCGTAAAAGGTTGATTTGATCATGAGCCGAACCAATCTACAAGGTACATTGCATAACACATTGCAAAACTAATTAATCAACACAAATAACAAATTTGTCGACGAATGTATGAGATTTTAGAAGTTTAATAGTAATGTTTGTTCCTTGGTTAGATTTTAACCCAAAACTAAAGGATTAGTCAGGAAACAAAAAGAATTCTCTGGTATATTTTTACGTCTACACAGCACTTGACCACATCAGCAGAAAGACTTGTCCACTACATGGTGCATCTGAAAAGTAATATAGATACAAGAAAGGACTGCACCACTAGCTCTACCACGTGGCTGTTTATGCCTATTCCTATTTACCTGCATCATCAGATATAGCTTAGAACAATATTTAGAGTTAGATGTTCAAAGGCTAGGTACTTATACCAGAGATTTTTAAGCTGGTGTGTTACGCCGAAAGGCTTTCGGTGCAATATACTAAGTAGTCAGCTGCCACTATTCAAGCAGAGGTTGATGGTGGAAGATCGTTTGCTTTTTATATATGGTCGGGTTTTTTTCTCTACCACCACCAAGAGACAAAAAACGGACCACGTATAAAATGCAAAACGATCTTCCACCATCAACCTATGCTTGGAGTAGCTGCCGCCGCGTGCCTGCGAAGCTGGTGTGTTACGCAGAGGAACAGTTATATCGGCTACTACTGACAGATTCAAACACAGATCGAGTTAGTGTTTCCTAGTAGCGGAGTGTTTTCTTCTTCATTTTCCAGAGAGGGCTGATCAGGACAGGGACGGACGACTATTTCATCGAGCCAGTCCGCGGACACAACGTCACCGGCGAGGAGAAACATCCTCATCTCATCTACAAGCGGTCTGCTCTGCCCAGAGATGACCGGCCTGCCTGCCTGCCTCCCCGCCTGCCTCCCCGCCTGTGTACCAGGGAGAACACGCGGACTTCTGTGGGTTGGAAGGTAGGACCCAAAGTCGCCTGTCATTTTGTTTGGAAATCTTGATACTTTTTTTAGGGGGGGGGGGTATTTTGTAATCTTTAGTCCTTATTGATATTTCTTATAAGGCCTAGGAATAAATGCTGTATTTCCTGTTTCAGTCCTGAAAAAATAGGGTCGGTAGATAGGGAGTACAATGTATCTTTTTTTTTCTTTTTAGACTTCAGTGATATCTATATAGGGGTCCAACTTACACAATACAGTTTAACAAAGTAAACCTCGCACTTATATTGTCAATGTCAATGTTAGAAAACCAATTGTACAGCGTTTTATCACTCAAGTGTCAGATCATGGAGCCAGAAAAGTTTGATCAGCTCAAAAAATTATGTCCCTTGCAGGGGTCCACCCCCCAAAAAAGTCTAGGGTCGGTCGGGAAACAGGAAACACAACATTTTTCCCCAAGACTAATATAAACTTAGTCGGTTGTTATCTGATACATGTTTGTCTTTCAGAGTTAGATATATTTCGAAAGAAAAGGGCGATATGCGCCTCTCACTAGGCCTTAGTTGTTATAAAATTGAAAGAAGGATAACTCCGGGACTATTGTGGGGCCTACACTGGCAGCGGCGGAAGAAGACGTGTAAACGAGTTAATTGGCAGGTCGGTAATTCGCCCATGGAGAACATCAGCGTCAGGTTGTTGTGTCTTCATGTGTGATTACTGCGCGCACAGAAGCAGGTGGCGTGGAGAGTTTTGGCTCCGTCTCCGGCCTCTCTACACAACCCCTGTACGCCTGTCGCGTGTCGGCGTGCCGGGTTTATTATCTTTGGTCCCTCATCAACTGGAAAACCGGTAGACACCTTCTCTGAGGACATTAATAGTTTTGAATGAAAGTAAATCTAGCCTTTCTCCACATTTCCGCCTCGTTGGTTTGGAGCGATTTTGTTTGGGTTTCAAATATTAAAGTAATTACTTACGCCCAACTCAATTTAACACCTTTGCATCTCTGCATCGTTGCGGACTGTATTACTACATGTATATGGCACAGCATCTAGCTATAGCAAGCCGACCGTTCAAGTTTTGTTCCTGCTGTGTTATCCATGTATATTAATTCATCCATTCCGAGAATCAGCAGTGAGTGAAGGGAAGTCTGTGGTATTGAATCTGATAGTCCACCCAGGTCCGTATGAAAGCTGACGATTTGGTGAACAACGATCTGGGAGATTTTAGGCATGTACTCTCTCTCTCTCTCCTCTCTCTATCCTCTCTCTCTCTCTCTCTCTCTCTCTCTCTCTCCCTCCCTCTCTCTCTCTCTCCCTCCCTCTCTCTCTCTCCTCCTCCTCTCTCTCTCTCCTCCTCTCTCTCTCTCTCTCTCTCTCTCTCTCTCTCTGTTTACAGCATTTTTAGGCTTCGGCTTATTGTGGGCGTGTTTCTGGGCCTTTCTTTGGGGCTTTGTGGTGCGTTGGACACTGCCTATCCAATTTGATGCTGTCGTGCCAATTTGATACTGTATGGCAGTCACCAAGAGATCTGCTAGGATGTTAGTTTTTAGGAATCGCTAATCGGACAGAACAAACGCCCGGTAAATCTCGCTTCCCTGCCCCCCCCCCCATGTGTCCAGAGTTTACATGACTGGTGAGGAAACAGCAGACAGGCGAGAGATGTGCCCCTCAGACGGCCGCGTGTGTCTCGCGCCACGCTGATGGTTCACATCTGACGTCAACACTCCCTCTAAATGGCAGTTTGTTTGACAAGACTTGGGTGTCGAGGTCAGCCCGACCTGTTTCTGACAAGGTCTTGTCCGTCAGTGTGGCAACCTGAACCTTTCAGTGCCTCGCACACTGTGAATGCACGGTTCTATTGCTTTGATCTTTCCAAAAAGCCCTTTACAGAAAAAGCAGTAAGAATATTGTTTGTGCAGCGGTGGCGGTGAGATCTGGTTTAACGGTTTCTTGGCGTGGACACAGGGTACCAACAGCATTGATTGACGTCATTGCCTGTGAAGGCAAATCAGCACCACGGACTGTGTCATACCATCACTGTGTAACTCGTCTGTTCTGCCCGCTGGATTTACTTTGACAGATGATTGTCTCTCAGGTATAGTCATTATGACTATTTCAAACCACAGTAAGAACATACATGTGTACAAATCCTTATTTTAGGTGACATATTTTGGGACAAACGAAACGTTTTCTAATACGTTGCTGATATTCCACTTCTACCCTCACCTCTCTTGTAACTTTAAAGCCATAGGCATGTCGAGGGGATTGGGTCAGAAACTACATTAATCTTTCTTTAAAACCATGCCCCTTTCACACGGGGGCTTTCCTCTCCGCTACACCCGCATGCTTATAAGGGTTGCTTATACAATCAAGCGAGCGGCACTTAATTTCGTGCACTTAAGGAGTGTGAAAGTGCGATATTGTTGACTCTGGAGTCTGTAGAAGTATGAGCAGTACCTCTTGATAAATCGTCTGTTTACTGTGTGTGTGTTTCCCTGCCATTACTCATCACTGAGCTATGTCAGATAGTGCTGTGCCTTGCACACGTCCGTGTGTGTGTGGTACATGTACCCGTGAGCGGGGCGAGGTTTCTGTGTATATCTCTAGCCCCGCCCACAGAGGGGATTTATAGTCTTCCCGAGGGCGAAGTCTCACGCTGTGTGGATATAACCACAGTAAATGAACAGCTCGCATTGGCTGAGGTGAAGTACTCAGCTCCGGTCCCCGCTACTCCTGTGCATTTACCTACACGTTTTCGCCTCGGTACACAAAGTCTACACCAACGCTTATTCTCTCGTAATTTAGTTTCAAGTCCAGCTGTGGTCAACCATGTGAAAACATTAGTCATTTTTTGCTATACTTGCCCCTTTTTGGCAGCTTGAAAACACCGATTGGCTTTATTACTGACATGGATGATCTTTCAGATGATATTTTGGTACATTTACTTTTAAGAGGTTCTTCTTTTCTTTTAACAACGTACAATATTCAAATATTACTACATCTACAGACATTTTTGCTAGAATCCAATCGCTTTGTGTAATATCATGATCAGTCGTGTTAGTATTTATATATTTGTTTCACTTGTTCATTGATTAATCATTGTATTTAATTTTTATATGTTAATTCTTGCTTTGTTTGTCTTATGTATTGCGTATTGTCTGGTGGCGACATGAATATAAGTGTGTCACCACCACGTCACTATATGTTTCAATAAAAACAAGAATTCCGAGATTTCATACCTCCATGAAATATGGGCTTGATATGTAAATGTAAATTTCCTCTTTAATTATGCAAATTACCTCCGCATTAACATGATATATGCATCGTGATGTATGTTAACTTTTGATTAACTTACAGATGTCCCAAGTATGACATTCCCATTATTCACCATTAAGAAATCATAGAATTTTTTCATAAATTATGCAAATTAGGTCATCATTTGCATAATTAGTATCTGTTGATGTTCTGCCTGCCATAGGTTATATACATTACATGTATGAAAGTAGTATAATGTAAAACACTGTAATCATAGAATTTCCTCATTAATTATGCAAATAAAGTCCTCATTTGCATAATTTGCATTTAATCATGTATCTCTCTCTTTCAGCTACCTACACACCAAAAATTATGAAAATATGTTGTTCCTATCTGGACTTATTGGCTTTTAAACATTTCGCCAGAAAGTGCCCTGCAGTTCCAGAACAAGCTGCTAGGGGGACCAAACTCACATCACTTATTCCTGACAGGAAAAGCAATCTGTCACCAAAACATCAAGACCATAGCATGTTCAGGACAAAAGATACAAAAACCGGAAGTTCTGCTGCAGTACCAAGGTCATCCACCAGGAAGCCCATATTTGACCTTGACGTTTGTCTTACTAATACCAAATATCATCATAATCCATAAAGGCGTTCTGAAGTTATGCTGACCACAAAGTTGCGGAAACACAGACAGACACACAGACAGACAGACAGACAGATAAGTTATGCTGACCACAAAGTTGCGGAAACACAGACAGACACACAGACAGACAGACAAACAGACACACCAAAAACAATACCTCCATTTTTAATGGAGGTATAAATAGGCATGTTTAACGGTAGGTGTGTTGATGGCATGGAAACGTCTCTGACCGACCTACTTTTCAGGATTTATTGTGACTCTCTCGGTGGGGTTAGGACAACAGACCGACCTCAGACATTTCTGTTTTGACTTCGGCTTATCCAGGACCATTTGTCACTCGTTGGTGTCGCAAACAGCGGATCGACATGACGTCTGGACAACGTCGTGAATTACGGGCAGTGAAAATGTTCAATGGCGCAAAATTAAAAATTAAAACTCGATTTTCTGGCCATTGTTTTGTTGATTCAATCTTGTCCCACATCTCCGAGGCAAAAATGCGATGTCACTGACTGAAAACGGTTGCTAGTTTTATATCGTATGGTGCATGGTTCAAGCTATTTATGGTCGGTACCCCAAAAAAGAGACACCTCACCTAGCTTTCGTGTCAAACGCCTCAAGTATGAAATAATGACGAAATATGTTGAGAAACGGCAGTAAATGTCAATATCAGACAGATTTCCTCATCGAGAATTTTTTTGCCGCCCTGAAATTACGTTAGATGGAAGGTACTCTAGATCTCAGAGAATCGAATAAATCGAGACGAAGTGATCATGAGATTGTCTGATGACTGGCTGTTGACAAGATAATCGTTTTCTCCGCATGCCAGCTGTCATGCCACCATGACAAAGCATACCCCCTTCTCTGGTACCGTAAGGCCTGGTGCCGAGATGAATAGGGGTAATACACATAATACAGTGCTGCCAGGGAAATCGTAAATATCTCGACTTTGCAGCAACAAAACAACATGAAATTTGGTAGACAGTTAGACAATACATCTTTCATTTCAAAAATGCTGAATAAGTCTAGAAAATCTACATAATATTTTCATAATTGATTAGGAAATGTGGTATTCGATTTTACAAAGATGGGCTGAGACCCCACCTTTCCCGACGGCCAGGA